TGTCTGGCCCTACAGCGATAGACTAGGGGATGAGCAGCCGCTGTCCCTGGAGGCCTCAGCATGAAAACCAGTGGAATCTGCACTGTGCCACATAGAGGCCCGACCCTGCTGTACTTCCCGCCTGTCAGCATTTATAAATATTCTTTGAACTGGAGGTACCGCAGAGAATTTAGAAGAAACCCCCAGAAGATCCTGATCTGGAAATAATAAGATCTTTTCTCCAAATTATGAGACGCAAGTCATAATAATAAAGATTAGGTCTTTGATTTATATAATAAACTTCTGCATTCTGAACCTTTAAGTTATAAGCTGTAACTTTTCCACATTTGTTGAGATGTGTTCTTACATGATCACAAATGTTTCCATCAATTCTCAAACCAGAGAAACCTGTGATTTTAATCCCGTTAACGCTCCATTTAATTGGTTGCCTGTCAATGACATCATATCCTCTTTGATCATGTGTCAGTGTGTTTGTCTGACAGAAGAACATTGACTTTTATCTAGTTTTAAGTCACAGACACTTTTTACACCTCGGTGGTTTTCAGCTTGTTATTTGAACCTGATGATTTTAGTCGTCGCACGTCTGGATCTGAAGTTATCAGAGGAACAAGCTGAGGAAATGTTAGACAGCTCAGCTCAGAGACGTCCTGTGTTGGTGAATCACTGATTTTTCAAACTGTTTTATTCAGTGTTTCTCCTGGATTTAATCCCCCGGTGTGTTTGTTGTGGAGAGAAGGACACCTCTGTGGATCATTCAGCTGCTGGTAAAAACCTGCTGAACGTCTGGTTCATAAGTTATCAGAGAAACAGTCAGAACAAAGGTTAGCATCAGTCTCAGCTCCAGCTCTTCCCTGAGTCTCTGTCCTCCGTACAGCGTCGCTCAGACTCTGACTTTAAATGTGAAGCTGCTTCATTTAGTGTTTTTAACAGTTAGATTTCCAAAGTCTGTTTGATTTCCTGAACCACCGACACTGAAGGAATCCAAACCGGGAGGAGTTTACGGTAATGGTTGTGACGACAACAACTCCCACGCTATTTCACGATGTCACCCAACGCTTTCTTGTGTTATTGTTTTGATTTAGAGACACCTCGAGGCAGAAGTTACAGACTGTACGTTTTAAATACTGTCAAAAAATATATATAAATAATTTCTAAGCAAATTTATTTGAACACTCGAGACAAAGAATCGAAGTGTGAGTTACCCTGAATATAAAAACGTGTCTGTGATTTGATTCTAATAATTGTGATGTAAACTGCAGTAATCAGGCTGTTTACTTGTGTTTGTTAAGATACAACTGCCTCCATGAGTTGTGTATCACAGTCGCTGCTGCTGCTGCTGCTGCTCGAATAAACAATGAATAATAAACACTGCTGCTGTGATGCAAATCACCGCACTGGACTTGTTTTAGTAAAACCACAAGACAAAAAAAAAAAGGCCTCTGAATGGATTTTTAATATGGTATCAGCATTGTTTCTGCAGCAGACACTAAATCATTATTATCAAGAGGAAAATTTGTTTTTTACCTTCTGTCTTAACATACCGTAACTATCTGTGTCTATGGGCCTGATTATGTAGTTTTATTATTTATTTGTGCAAATAAAAACCAAATAACACGAGTGAATAATGAGGAGAACTCTTTATTCATGTAAATGAGGTGTCACTAATTTATCGACTCATCTTATCTGTGTCGAATCAGTGTTATCCTTGAATAACAGGAATGGTCCTTTCATCTGTTCATTTTAATAGCAGCGTTTTGTCTTTGTAGGGACAGATGTGCAGGACCAAACACACAATCACACAGGGAACAAGAGACAGATTGAGCCGTCCAGTTAAAAGAATTACGGTCTTTTCTCTGGAGAAATGAACAGCAAGGCCTGAAAATCCTCCCTTTAAGGCTCTTATATTTGGCTTCAGGCAAAGAAACGCTGCGCCGGGGAAAAAGCAGAGGTGGAGGAAAGGATGTGTTAAGAGCCTTACTCCAGGAATTAGGCTAAAACCCTCTGGATGGATTTGGTTTGGGCTTGAAATTAACAAGGGGGCAGGATTTTCCTGTAATTTCTCAGCGTATAAAACATGTGACTGGTACGGTAAAGAAGCCCATCGAACCCCACCCACACGCAGATGCTACAGTTTAACAGATGTGCCCTAAACGCCTCACATGCAGATTATTGACAGAAGCTACAGTTGAACAGATGTCCCCGACATGGCTCACATGCAGACTATCAGTAGACACTACAATTTTACAAATGTACCCTAAACGCCTCACATGACTGACTACTGGTTGATGCTACAGTTTTATAGATGTGCCCTAAACGCCACATATGCAGACTATTGACAGATGCTACAGTTTAACAGATGTCCCATAAACGCCTCACATGGAGACTATTGGTAGATGCCACAGTTTTACAAATGTACCCTAAACACCTCACATGCCTGACTATTGGTTGATGCTACAATTTTACAGATGTGCCCTAAACACCTCACATGGAGACTATCAGTCGATGCTACAATTTTACAGATGTACCCTAAACGCCTCACATGCCTGACTATTGGCAGACGCTACAGTTTTACAGATGTCCCCTAAACACCTCACATGGAGACTATCAGTAGATGCCACAATTTTACAGATGTCCCCTAAACGCCTCACATGTAGACTATTGGCATTAACATTTCTGCTGAAGTAGGTAAATAACATCAACGCTGCGATGTCATTGAGGTTTTACTCATATTTCTTTTCAAATACAGATTTATTCTTTTGTTTTTGTTTCCTCTGTGGTTTTCAGGAGCCCCTGCTGTTTTTGTAAGTTGTATTTTTATTTTTTTTGTATCTTATAGGCCACATGAAACTGTTCAGATTGCTGTTGTTGAAGCTGAAGAGAGAAACAGGAATTGAGGGCTCAGAGGAAGAGGAAAAAGAAAGTGGAGGAGAAAGGAGGTTTTTCCTGTGAGTTGTTTTTCATTACCGAGGTAATCTCTCCTCACTGATGCTCTCTGCCTCTCCACCCTCCCTCTCATGTCTGAGTCCAGCAGCTAGAAAGCAAAGAAGTGTGGGAGAAGCCTGTTGTATGTCTGAATCAGTAAAACACAGCATGAGTCTGAACCTGCGGTGAACAACAGCTTTGGCGATGAGCACCGACTGGATCTGAATTTAATCTGCTCAGCGTTCAGTTGATGAACCCACTGAGAGATTTAACCAACAAGCCATCCAACTTTAACGAGCTGAGGTAGTGCCCCTACTATGGCAGGCGTACTGGACCTTTGTTGTCATGGTTACAATAATAAATACGTGGCTAATGTTGGACAAAACAAACAAAGAGCACTGGTTCCAAATTGAATACGAACAGCAGCTTCCTGTGGCAGAGTGCCAATCCACGCCAACCTGCTCCTAACCTTATCGCTCTTTATACGACATCACCTGACTTCCTCCTTTGCTCCTGTCATACTTTCTATCACCAGTTTACGTCCTTGTATATCCAGAGTCAGAAACAATATGAACCATCTGAGTGAAAGTTTGTCAGTCCTGCTGTGAAGTCTTGAGTAACGGCTAAAAAGTATTTTGTGAGGTCACACTGACCTTGACCTTTGACCTTTGAGCACCAAACTCTAATCAGTTCATCCTTGAGTCCTAATGAATGTTTGCTCCGTCAAGGTGTTACTGAGACATCGTGTCCACGAGAATGAGACGGACGGACAACCTGAAAACAAAATGGCTGCCACTTTGACTGTCGCCGGTGCGGAGGAATAAAAATGTGAAAAAAAAAAATGTATTAATTTCCATCTACTACTGTAATGTGAATATAAATAAAATCTGATTATTAAGTCTGATATAAATACCACTGAAGTGGGAAAATTGAGGACAATAAAAACAACAATGCTGGTTTTCAGGTTGATGTGACGGAGTGGTCTCTCTGTAAATTTAACTTTCTATTTTATTACTTTCTTAATTTTGTTTTGTTTTTTAACTGTAACCACCTGTTTTCGTGCCCTGACTTATTATCTAGGACTAACAGGGAGCAGCATCTGCTTTACTGACTGTATCAGGAGGCAGCGGATGTGACTGGGTCACATTAGGAGAAACACACTTAATTCTGCTCTGTCCATTTCCTGCGGTGATCTCATTTTGACGTTTACAGTACTGCTATCAGCATCATTATCACTTCCCGTATGTATTTCATAATAAGTGCATTTGGCCTGCACTGTGCAGTTTACAGTTAGTGAACGTTTCCAAACCTTCATAGTTTTTTAAAACTAGATTTAGCTAGATTTTCTGAAATTCATTTTATTACATGTTTACCAAAGTAAACAAACGAGCTTGGTGAACGGCAACTGCAAAATACCATCCAAATACATCGTAGATCTACATTTGGACAATCAGCTTTCTCCATAAAGGGCTGTCAACTCTGGAACACATCACCAACTGAAATCTAATTAACTCCAGATATAGATTCCTTCACAACAAAGGTTCAGTTCTGCTAAAGAGCTGTATTCAATTCTAGGTCATTTTATCTGTTGTATATTGTTTTTGTTTGACTAGTTGTAGCTTGTTGTGCTGTTGTTGTCTCTTTTCAATGAACATCTGTATATTTTTTAGCTAATTGTAAGATATTATAACAGCTATGAACTCCTTGTGCAACACATTAGTTTTAAAATCTATGTTAAATTGATTTGTCTCTATTAAATAAATAAAAAAAACAAAAAAACAAACAAAAAAAAACAATAAGTGATAAGTGATGATATAAATAATTAACAATAAACTTTTAGCATCTGGAGAAAAAAAACAACAACCTGCACAGCCCTCCATCATTCAGCAGATCTGACGTGATGCCATCATCCTAAACCTGCTGGATGAATGTGTCTCAGTTGGTCTTCACACACACTGGGCTGCAGCCCATCAGTGTGGGTTGGTAAATGCCCACAATGATGGACACTGAAGGTTTTTGTTGTGCAGAGATTCAGTTTCACTGGTGTGAAGTTGTGGAGGGAACACTGTGGTACTTACATGAAGTAGATGGGGTATCCGCCTTCAAAATACCAGCAATACTTTTTTGCTTCTACACACTGAAAAACAGAGAAGGACAGAGTGAGGTAATGATTTAAGAAAGCAGAAGAACACAACACAGCTTGGATGTTAGTGCTGCACAAATCTTTTTCAAACGTCAGCCACTGTTGGGCAACGTGGATGGTGACGACTCTCTCGCCACACGAGGGTCTCACGAGGTTGAGGAGTTCGACTTTCCCCAAAACCTGTAAACCTCTGTCGGGGTCCGTGTCTCCTGGACCTGAGCTTAGGTACTGATCCGTATCAGCTACCAGGATGATGGTTTTTGGACGCTCCCGGCTGTTTTACTTGGCCTTAACTGATCTTTCGACACCAGGCAGATGGATGTGAGCTACTTTTGAGAAGCTAAAGCTGTTTTTGCACATTGAGAGCTCCAGTTCAGACCTGAGAGGAGTTTCAAAAAGCAGGTTTAACCAGTAAAAACCAAACTTCTGTCAGTAAGTCGGGCTCATTTCAGGAATTTCTGTTTCATAAAGAAGGTTTAAATTAGTAGGTCCTCAGACAAACCTGGTCCAAGTCAGGTTAGATTTAAGGAACTGTTTCATTTAAGGTTTAACCAGTGTTACAATCAATCTGTCAGACTGAAACGCAGTGTTTTGTAGTTTTGTTATAGTTCCACCCTGAAGGTTCCTCTTTACCTCTTTAACTGTGAGCAATCAGTTTGTTCACAGTCTGTGTCTTTAATAAAATGTACAAACATACTGAGTTCACATCTTTTTCACTCAGTCTTTACAGTTTTCTAGCTGATGGATGAAGCTTTACAAGTTCATCTCTCTTTAAATGTCAATAAATTATATTTTAATGTGTTGCTTTTTGGCTGCAAACACAGTTTTAACTGAAGGTGTCTGAATTCTTCACTGTGAATTGATGTGATCCAGACTTGATGTCTCGGGTCTGTGTTTCAAAGTCATGAAATAAACCAGACTTCACTCAGTCTGCTCACATCACCTCCAAACCAGCTTTAAGAAAACAGAATAATCCTGGTTCAGTTTGTTGGGTTAATTCGAGACACCAACACTTTTCTGAAACGCCCGCCTGGTGTATAATGATCCAACATTAACGGACACCTACACATACACTATGTGTAGAGAGGGTGAAAGGAGAAACCATGACTAAGAGACATTAAGCTTATTTTAAAAATGATATTATTCTAGTTTTCAATAGAGATTTCTGGTTATAAATGAAGGCCAACAGCAGAGATCCTTCATCTGAATTCATCACCCACATCAAAGGCATTTTGACAAATTTGAAACAGGTCAACAGTCAACACCAGGATCCCCCTGTATCCTCTGAGTATGAACCTGTTCCCAGCAGGAGCCAGGCATCAAGGTAACGTCAGAAAGACTTTGGACTCTAACAATGAAATTTGGGTTGACGCCAACGTTGGATAATTGACGTGAGACGTTTGGAGGACGTTTAGCAGAAGGTTGGTTTTACTCACAACCAGAATTTCGGTATTTTATCCGTCGGGAGACGTTAGATTTTGTAACTTAACAACTTAAAACCAACAAAAAAATCAACGTCAGCTGTCGTCAGTTTTCCTCTTGAATTAATGTTGGCGTTACACGTCCTGACACTGAATTTTGGTCACCTACATTCAGCCGAATCTCAAGGTCTAACGGTGGCGGCAGCAGCTGCGTGCCTGCAGGGTTATTTCCATTACTGGCCTCCGTTCAGGATACGATGCTGGCAGGCTGGAGAGAGCCTTTAATTAACCGTCTTTGAAATGATCTCCCTCTATGAAAATACAGCTGCTTTGTTGTGGCGTAGAGGATTTTCAGCTTTATCATTCTACATCCTGCAAAGGAGCGGTGTGGGACAGAGAGAGTGTTGAGAAGAAAGAGAGAGAGAGAAGGTGAGAAAGGAGACGAAGAGGATGGAAGTGAATCACACTGCAGGGATGGGGCTTGCCTCGGGGTGGCAGGCAGCGAACACACCATCACTTTCCATTAAAGTGGAGACATCCTCTCAAAGATAACGAGCTGAACCGGAGTCTCAGTGCAAATGAAAACATGCAGTATTTGATACGGTTATGAAATTGATATGACATTCGCTCATATCATGTTTTTAATGCACTGAACTCTATTAACTCCTGGTGGTGATAAAAAAAAATTTAAACAAAGAAAAAGACAATGGGAATTAAAAGAAGTGCAGTGAAGTGGAAACTTTGGTGTTTGTCTGCAGGTACAGAAGATGCTCAATCAGTTAAAGCAGCAGTGAACAAACGCACACACATGTGACATTCTCTACTGACGCGTCCTTACGGATGAGATTTACCATTTTATATTTAAGTGGTTATCAGATTTCTCTCGCCCTCATCAGACTGGTGCAGTGCAACTGAACCGGGCAATTACAGAACGGAAAGCAGGATGTCAGCTTCAATGTAATGTTGTCTGATCCTCTTCAGTAATGAATTATTTAATGTTGATTTTAAAAGCTCCATATTTAAATAAAGTGTTGATCCATAAGAAGATATATTCACCTCCTCATGGTTGTATACCTCCGCCACTCAGACAAGTTCCAGGTTACATCCGTTTATCCAGAGTCATAAAATATGAACCATTTGTGTGAAATCTTGTCATAATTTCTTAAGTTAAAAGTGTCAGAATCAGAAGAGAGGAGGCTCTGAGCCTCTCTTCTGATTGGCTGACTGTTTCCTAAGTGATCCAATAAAAATAAAGCAGATTTCAGGTAAAAACACTCAGAGAAACCAAATCCTGCAAGGTTTGGATGGTGGGTCCAGGGGGGCGGGGCTTGGTGACTGCTTTGTTGTGACATCACAAAGTTCCAGAAGTCCTGATGGCTGGTTTTAAGGCTCAGTTTCTGAATACAGGCTGTGTGCATTTCTCTGTGGACTGAGGCTTTGATACTTTCACAGTATTAATATAGAAGCTAGAGCTGATCTATAATCACACTACACACGGACACAGACCTTTACACTGGAGGAGCTTTAAGAGTTTTGTGGGCAATGCCTTGTTTTTATGTGACTGCTGATGATAGGACGACGGAAGATTTATAACGCCTAAATTAAAACAAACCAAACAAAGAAATAAAGTGAAATACAATAAACATTGTTACATATATTTCCTTTTTATGTGTACAATTACTCTGTTTATAATTAAATGGAATACATATGAATAGTTTTTCATTGTGTTGTCCAGCAGGGCAGAACTTATGATGGATAAGACAACCTGATGGCAGCCATGACAGGTTTAAGTTTCCTGTTGGCTTGATGGACACTTCTACTGACTGTACATCTAATTACATTAGTGCTTTTACTACTACTGTACTACAGGAAGCTGTTTACAGATAACCTATTTTATTTTGTAAGTGCTTACCCTACATGAGCGCATTGTTCATATTGTTTAATCTTAAAAAAAGAACAAAACAAACAAACAAAAAAAAAACATGAAATGAATCTATTATATATTTATAAACAGGGATGAAAAGTTTGGGAATTGGTTCAAATAGAAACAAAAATAAAAGCAACATGGAGCATGAAATGAATTCTTAAAGAAAACATACTGTATAGTAAGAATTTAGAGTGTGTGAAGAAACATGGAAAGTGAATGCAAACAAAACATAAAATAAACTTTATGCTTAATGTCTGTACTCATAATAAATGGAAAAATGATGTAGCATCATATCAAATGTTCAAATCAAACGCAAATAATAGAGGTAATAATAACAGGCTAAAAGTAGCTTAGCTAATCATGGGGAGGGAGGAAAAGTAAAAGTTTGCTTTTATCTTTCACTGAAGTCCAAACACCTGTTTTCAGCAGAGTGATAAACATGGTCCCAGGAGAATACAACAAAACCCAAAACCCATCTGTAACAGTGTGGAGGGCAGAGCTGCAGGGTGGCATCATGGCAGGTGGAGTTGTTTTGGCGGCTCACAACAGGCACAATGGGTTATTTGTCAGACTACTGGTGGAGAATGGGACCATACTGTGTCACTGGGGCTGGGAAGTAATGGCAGAAACACACACACACAGACACACACACACACACAGACACACACACACACACACACACACACTGAGAGGGACAGGAAGGAAAGCATCCCATCCCCTCTCACCGAGACAATGTACATCCACTCTATTTGTCCAGACTGTGTTGTGTTATCATTGTGGTCACTGGTGGGAAATCCCCTCCACACAGAAAGTACGTAATCAAATCATCAGATCTTAATCTTGTGTCTCTGCTCTCATCTTTTTATATATTTTGATTTAAAGCCGCGGAGCAGCTGGATTAATTCTCTGATTTTAAATGACGGCTCAAACATTTGTTCTTACAAATCATAAGCAGGAGAAAAACTGGAGAAAATTACTCAAAGGCAGGATAAGCAAAACTCTCAACCACGGATAAAATGTATGATGTAGAAAAACATACAGTGCATTCAGAAATTATGAGTTATCGAGGGAAGATTAATGAGGGTTTTTTTTTATTTTTATTTCAGCATGAGGCTGCAACATTACAAAATGTGAAAAAGGTGGAGGGGTCTGAATACTTTCCGAATGCGACGTATACACTTGATTAAATCCTGCAGGAATCTTATTGTTTTCAGGTTGTCCGTCCGTCTCAATCTCGTGAACACAATCTCTCTGTAAAACCTCGAGGGAACAAACATTTATTTGGACTCAAAGATGAACTAATTAGATTTTGGTGGTAAAAGGTCAAAGGTCAACTTCACTGTGACATCATAACGTTCTGCAAAACACCTCTGGCTATTATTCGATGCTGTAACCCAGGAAGGAGAGACTGTGACCATACTTCCTGTAACTTCCTGTACCGTGACTGGTTGGTGGAGGAAACGACCACAAGGTGGTGATGGTAGTTGTTATTTTTAAAACACCCATATGACAGTAAAAGAATAAAAATAAAAACAAAAGTGTTCTAGATTTGAAGCTACAGTTTCCTCATGTGACGTGGGCCTGTTACCGTGCAAACACACTGAAACAGGGAATGTTGCTGCCATCGGTTTTCTGATGCAGCCCGT